TGTGTGTGTGTGTGTGTGTGTGTGTGTGTGTGTGTCCTTCTGACAGAGAGCCTTTCTATTGATCTACAAACAGAGCAGTGAATCAGGACACTGAGACGAGTCCAGAGACCACAGATGAGAAGTAATGAGACATGTAGAGAGGTGAAAAAAAAACAAATCAACATAAGAAGGAAAATATTTCTTTTAACTGAAGGCCGGARGTTTTAAACTACGATGATGAATATAGAAAATCATGTGACGTGGATGACTCTCAGCTACCACATCAGATTTTAGCTCTGTATCTGTAAAACTGACTGAATTCTATCCCAGATTCTTTGTTCACCTGGCTGTGGCGGCCATATTGACTCAAGTTGGGTCCAATGAAAATCTCCTGAAAGCTTGATTAAAACGTGTCCAGTGGTTCAGGAGATATTTTTCTAACAAACAAACWACTAATAGTTGATGGCAAAATTAAAATACAGATCTTGTTCAGTCTGGTGGGCCGAGCCGTCATGAAACTGTAGGCAAGACAGGCATATGCAAAGGGCCCCAAGCTGAAAGGGGYCCTCCCAGGAGCAGTGCCGGTAAAAACTGTGATAGTGGACAATTTTACAGTGAAACTAATGAAAACAAAGCGCATTTCACAGCCTCATAATTTGATTCTTGAATCGGTTTTTCTAAAGAGATTCCTCTATGACACTGCTGAAGTGAATGCAACAAAGTCCTTATGAATCACTGTCGATCCCACGCTACTCCATTTAAGTGAAAAGGACCCCCCGAAAGCACGCACAGCCTTTAATATGTTTAAAAAAGACAACTAGAAAAGTAAAAATATGAAAACAAGACAGTGGTAAGTCACCTATTTTCAAATATCTGCATTAGCATGTTAGCTTGTTTGCTAACCTTGTTAAAACAACAACACTGAGTGGCACTGCACATGTAATATGGCCTATTTACTGAACTTTAGCACAAGATATAGGTTATTTTTAGTGTGGTGGGTGAGCATACATTTATAAAAAATTAATATTATGAATCTAAAAGTTAATACTAATGGTGCATTTGACCTAACCATTGAAAATGTAGATGAAATAAAACAATTTAATATTAACTTTACATTTTCACAAACTAATGTTAAACACAAATCAGTGTTCAGAGTTTAAATATTTAGGTTTATTTTAGACCTTTGTTCTTCTGTGTTTAGATGTAGCATAGTTCTGATTTTTTTATGAAATGCTAAAAACTCTAAAAGGTTTTAAAATATCAACAAACATTTATGTATTTACATTTCCAGTGGTGGGAACAGCTAAGAAAAAAAGTTAGCTTCACTAGCCACTAAACCGCTACGCAAGAATCTTAGCTCCGCTAATGCTAAACAGAAAGAAAAGTTAGAGAAAGCTAACCAATAAACATCTTAGCAAGTAGCGGTTAGCGTCTTCTAAATTTTCTTAGTTTGAAAACAATCCCGCTCATAGAGTTATAGTTCTAACATCTCTACCATATTTTACAAATAATCTATTTTTTGAATTCATTATTTAAATACTGTTAAATARTTTATTTWCTTTTGATGCTTTTAGTTTGACGTTTAGCTGTTGCTAAATGCTACACATCCAGCACTGCTTGTAGGAGTGGATTGATTTTTATTTCATTTGGGATGAAATGCATAAAAACAGAAGTTAATCGTTAACTTGTTAATTATTTTTAGCACACTCAAAATTAGTGGAAGCTAATCGGTGTTCTAACGCTTCCCAAAGTTAGCCACAAAGCTAATCCGCWAAATGAGAGTTGGTTGGCAGAACTGCATGCACCACTACACATTTCTGTATAGTGCTGTAAATAACACATACCATACACAATAGTAATAATAATTAATAAATGTTCATATTATGACTGTGATTATTATGTCTTTAGCTTAAAGTGGGGTGCAGTGTCTACGGGGTCTCAGTTGTTCCTCTTATGTTGGGCTCCCATGTTGTCTAGACATAGTTCTGCTGGTGCAGATCAGTCTCACATAGGCTACAGACCGAATTTAATTTGTAAAAAGTTTAAAAAGTGTTTATTTTGTGGCGCTTTACGCTAACACTGCTATTTCTTTTCATCCAGCTGAGCCAGTTAGGAATTATCCTTCCTCTGAGGAAAAAAACAGCTTTCATTACGACAGTATGAAACCATTTCCTCACTGCTTCATGAAWTGCAGTTATTGAACAGTCAAACATATTGGTTTTCTATTCTGTGTGGCTGCACTCTTCATCTGCCTGTGTAATGACAACTGAACATCATCACCGTCAATCTTGTATTTTTTTCCTCCGGTCATGAATGGACATGGCTCCCAGCTGCCTGGGTCAGCTGGCAGCTGCCGTCGTGTCTGTTTATGACCTCTGTCGTGGCCTCGTTTTCATTTCCAGCATACGGAGGTCCTCGTGTGTGAGACGGAGTCGAGGGAAAAGCTGTCGGCCTTTTTGTTGCTTCGCTATTGACTGTTTCCTCTGATTTTATCGACCGAGATTGAGCCACAAGGAGAGCAGAGATAAAAAAAAAATCTGATAAATATGAAATTGCTGTTCTTCCCTCAACAGTTTTAATTTTTATTTTTTGCGGATGTTAAAAAAAACAGGCCGAATTTTTTAATGTTTTACAGAGAGGCTTTGTGGAAACGTTACGAACAATCAATATCTTACCTYGTGTAGATGGCTCTTTAAATGAAGATGGTTTGGAGAAAACACTTTAAAAATCAGCGACCAAATTCAGATTCAGGCTCAATCTTTAAAATTTTACAGACATTTCCACGATTCCACAATACCTTCCATCTAACTCAACGATTACAAGCTGTAACACTGTAATAACATGGTAATAACAGCTTGTCCGAGCCTCTTCCACAAGTCGTGTCACTGGAATTGTGAACATATATTCATGATATTTGTCTGACAAATTTTCTCTCACAATCGTCAGAGTTGTCTGAGGCACCTCAAACTTTCCTAAGTTTAGTTTTCATTAACTCTGGAACAATAAATCTGTATTTTGATGCCCTCTCAGAAACAACCAGAAGCTTCTAGCGTCCAGCTCTAAAATCCACACCGACGACCCTACCATGCTTGAAATAACGAGCCTAAATGTAATTTAATGTGTCTCAGCGTTTATAAACTCTACCCAAATAACGCTATTAAACTAAAGCTGACATTTGGGAGATTTCTTTAGAACTGTAAATATATAAACAGTTTTTATTGTTTCAGAGAAAGAGAGAGAATGGAACGGAATTTGATTTTTTTCTCTCACCAAGTTTTTTTTGCATTAGACAATATATAATCATTTTTTAATATAATAAATAAGACTAAAAACTCTTTGAAATCATGAATCCACATGTGGACAACACCTGTGCAAAGATCCATGCTGCTAAAATAAACAGGAGCAAAGTTCCAGAGGTTTTAGTAAAAAAATAATTGTTTTGTTGTTTGACCATTGATTGATGATGCTTTATTGTCATTGGGCCTCATGCAAGAACATGTTCGTATTCTTATCCTAAATTTCTCTTACTTGTGTTTGTACAAAGGGTTCGTA